GGGGGCTCCGGGCAGGCGGGAATGGGGGCGTTAGGCAGTTGGTCAGCGGCTGGCGCCGGGAGGGGGCATGAGGGTGTAAACCCACGTTTCTGCTTTTTGTAAATCCAAGTTTCTCTGTTAGGGCGGGAAAGGCTACGAGGCGGGAGGGGAAGGGCTGCGCCCCCGCTGGCGTCTGCCTCTTGGTCAACTTCTCGCGCCCCCCAGTTGAAAATTTTGGGAGTTTTTCGTGTTTCTTCACGAAACCGCTTCCGGGGAGGAGGTCCCCGTGTGACGGGCGGGGTCAGGCAGAGAGCCAGGAGCGGGGTCAGCCCGCCGGCCGGGACCGGCAGCAGTGCCCCCGCAGCTCCTCGGCGAGGGGAACGGCGCCTTCATACAAAACACAGCGACGCTACCAGGATTAAATCTTGTTACAGATGATGGCCGGTGACGTAATTTTCTTGAAGGCCGTTGGGGAAAGGGTGGCGGGGTCCTGAGGGGCGGAGGAGGTGGGAGGGAGCGCCCCGCAGCCGGGCGGGAGGCGGCGGGTTGGAAGGCACCGCTTAACCTGCCGCGGAGCCCGCGCCCTCCTCGCCTTTCCCGTCGGCCACGGATAAAACAGTAAAAAAAAAAAAAAAAAAAAAAAAAAAAAAAAACAAAAACAAAAAACCAAAACCATTTACTTGACGTAAACCTGACTGAAGATCCCATATCTGTGCGCTGACTCAGGCGGGAGAAGTTTAGGCCCGGGTGCTTTGCTCACTGGACGCGAAAGGGGGGAGGCGGGAGCGGTTTGCCTGGGCAGAGCTGGTGCCCCGTGGCCGTGGGGAGGCCGTGGCGTGGCGGGACGGTGGCCTTCCTCCACGCCGGGCTGTTGCTGGCACCAGCAGTTAACGCTGTCCCGCATTGATACCCAGGCAGTCCCCACCCAGGACCCCGTTTTGCTGGATCGGTGGATGCGCAGGCACAACTGAGCGGTGGCCTTCGGCAGGTAAAGCGGCTGTAGCTACTTAGGTTTGCTGTTAACGACCAGAACAAAGCTTGGGAGATAGAATTCAGAGAGCTGCGAATGTGCGATTCCACCGATTGCAGCTTTAATTGTAGAATTCACAGCAGGTTGAATGTGAAAATAGTAAATAATAGTAGAAGAGCAGTTCCGCTTTTTAGATACACCAGTAAATTGTTCCTCTCCTCCATCTCTTGAAAAAAATCCCCAAGACTTCTCCAATGGAGGAAAATTTCTTTGCTAGTGGTTACTTCTTATGTATTGAACTTTTTCCACCAGAAAGGAGTTATCAGGAAGCCACATAAAATCTTTCTGACAGGGACTTCTTAACTAATCCAAACACTGTGTGTAAAGTTATGTTTCTTTAAAAGTAAGCTGTTAAGAAACGCAGCAGCAGAACCTCTGAGGCATAAGAATATTTCTGTAAAAGCCTGTGCCTTTTAAACAAAAGCTTGTTGGTTTACCAGGTGGAGGCAGAAAGAATTTCTTCTGTGTTCTTTTCTATCTGTTGCTCTTCAAACAACTAGGGATGGCTACAAAAGCTTGTGCCACGTTCATGGGGGGGGGGAGTCACTGAAAGGTGCTGATGTCTGTGACCCTCGAGCAATGCAAAATCACATGAGCTGTAATGGACTTACACTAGTTGTGATGTTAACGTATGGCTCCCAGGGTACTTATTGACATATCGATAATGTTGGTTACACAGAGATTGTAAACTGGGGCATGATGACTGTGTTTTAACTCATAGATACAGATTATCATTTAAGATCAGTACAGGGACTCTGTACAAGCTCTACTAACGCAGCAGTTGTGCTATAAAAATAAGAGGCTATTTTTTCCTTACCTCTGGGAAATACATTGCATCGCTTCTTATTAAAACATGCAGACTTTTATGTAGTATATGGGCCCATTTGCTTCTAATCTTTATACATTTTTTACTGTTCTTGAACTGTGTAAAACAGTTGAGGTTCTTTTAAAGGTGAGAGCTGCTGTGTGAGAGCTGCTGTGTGGAAATACATTCTGCCTTACTCATTTGTTATAGTCAAAAACTGGCCACTGTGGCACACATGACATAGGACGCGGAAAATCAGTCTCTTTCCTGTCTCTCCTGGTGATAGCAAACATTTGAGTTTTGGCTGGCCTGAGTCTAGGTTACCATTATTAATGAAAAAGCATCTCGAAGCCTCCAGTTCTCTTGCTGTAATGACTCTGCAGTTGAGTGGCTGGCACTGTAAAATAGCTTCTCTCAGGAAACAGATCTGACTTGGAGACACAAAGGGTACAGATTTTCATGTGAAATGGGGCACTATTTTCATATAGCCGCCTCTCTTAGAGTAGTTGCATTTTTAATGCTACAGTCAGAAGGCTATACCAACAGGGACTCCACTAGCCCTGGGCTGGCACTGAGCCTTGTGTGTGCGCTTCACTGATGTCCTGCCAGAGCTGGCTACTACTTGGCTGTGAAAATCCTGAAGATATTCCAGCTACTGGCTGCTGGTAGGTATGTGGCACAGGGCTTTTTTTCACAGGCAATTTAGAGGAACAGTTTTTGTCAGAATAGCAAGACTACAGAAGAAGTAGTGTTGACTGAGTTTTTGGCTCTTCAGAAATATTCTAGATTGGTCTTAAATCAGCTGCTTTAAGGGATAGTTGTTAATTAATTTGCTCCTTGTATTGCCTTTACTACTTCATCCTACACAATCTCCTTGGGGGGAGCCAGCACAATGACAAGTGAATTCCCTAGTTTACCCCAAATTTTTTTTAACTGTTCTCTAAGATCCTTCAGCCCCTTTATAGACAGCACTTATATTTAGTAAGACCTTGTTGTGATAAATGCTAACGCTACCGATAAACTAGTGTTCTTCACTGCCAGAGGACTTGTAGCACTGGAAGTTGAACAGGCATAGAAATTCTGTTAGAAGAAGAGTAAGGAGACCTTAGTGAAAAGAGGATGTGAGAAGGGCAGGGCCAGGAAAGATATAAATGTATATATGCTTGCACAATGCTGAGAATAGAGGGAAGTCAGAAGAACTGCTAAATAAAAGTGCCAGTGCCTTCATGCCAAGGCCATCAGCGCCACTGCAGCTTTTTGGCACTGATTAGACAAAACCTTGCTGTAAGCACCGATACTTTTACCGTACCTCTTACTATGACAAATTTCATTTCCCTTTTTCATTTCCCTCCTTACCCCTGGCCTGATGCCCATCGTGCTTCCTCTTTGTTATTCTCAGTTATGCAGGCTTATGATATACATCTCTTGCCAGACTTGCTGTTGCTTCTCACATCCCTTCAATCCCCGTTGACACTTCATTTGGCCAAGGCCCTGCCTTCTGTCTCTTCTTCGCCTTTACAATTGATGGGTGAGCACTCTGCTCTCTGGTTCTTTTTAATTCCTGGTACTCTGTCTTCTGGCTTCTTCACCTGACCAAAGTTGCTGTCCTCAAAATGGCTAACTGAATTTCTTTTTCAACATCATTGGCACCATCTTGAGTAAATGTTTTTATTTCATTTTTCCTCCCAGGAACAAGAAGGCCATTCTGTTCCCAGATAGGAAGTTTTTCCCCATAAGCATCTCTCCCATTGTCTCCCCATACTAGATTCCTGCTTCACCCAGGTATCATCTCTCTCGTCTCTCTCCATTCCTCCTTAGGTGTTCTGCTGTTTTAGGCTTGAAAAATCTTTCCTTTTCTCCCCATGTACATACCTTTCTATGCATAAACCTCAGTGTTAATGTTCATTTCTCTAAATAGATGTGTTCACAGACTGTTGCTATTAGAACAGGTGATCTCTCTTTATCATAACTTAGTGATGTTTTGCAAAGGATTGTAAGAGCCTCAAGGTGGATTTCGGGAAAATTATTTTATTCATTAGCCCTTTCAAAAATGGAACAGTTCCAGAATTGAGACAGTATTTCTCAACAGTGGATGTTTTTAGACCTTGGTCAGTGCACTGAGGTGTCTCACATTAATGTATGTCTCAGTCTTTTCTACCAGCGTCCCTCGGACTGATGCCACATCAGTCAGAAGAATTGCACTGGAACTGACTCCAGCATCTGGAATGCCCAAGATACGGCAGAGAGCACTATACGCACTCTAGCAAGCAAATGCTTTCAACGCATATTTATAAGCTGCATGAGGATGTACCTTTAAACATACCAGATGTGTAACCTAGCATTGTAAAACTAACAGATTCTTGTAAAAAGAGACTTACCACTTTGTAACCCTGTGGTCCCTCGCTGAAAAGACTAATGTTAAAGCACTGTGGAAGCTGGGACTCCTTCCAGAAAGAGAGGTGATGGGCTTGCAGATAAGTTGTAGACCTCATGGCCTCGTGTTTAAAAAACAATGAAAAAACCTCAATCCAACAACCCTGCCCCCGCAGCAAAACAGAAACACATGGACAGTGTGTTTCTCTAAGAGAACAAGCATGGTCTCATGCTGATCAGGACTTTTAGGTGCTGTTGAGCCTAGAACTGCTACTGTGGAAAGTTTTTGTGTTTACTGTAGTCTAAGTATGACC